AAAATGTACCAAGTCCACTGTCTGATACTGGCAATTATGATAGCTACCAAGGCAGACGACTTCGGGCCGGATGCGGTCAACTAAGTCGCCCTGGCAACAAGACCAATTTGCGAAAACGAGGTCGATCCACCTCGACTCTATTTTGTCCGACGACTTCCGGCATTTCCAGATCTGCTGCAAATGGCGAACTGGCCTCAACACGGCTCGGGATCGTCTGTCAGATTCAGGCGGGGCCTTGTGGAAAGATGGGATCGTGACGCAGACACCGTTGCCACGGCAACTCGGGTCTTGTGCGCAACCGCTTTGAGCCGGAAAATGTGTGCGAGGCGGGTCGACTTGATCCGAAGCGCACAACTGGAGCTCCTCCTGACCCTCGAAAACCAGGTCTGACGACAAGCGTGAGGATGAGCAGGTCTTCTGTTGCCAAGGAGAGTTGATGTTCGAGGACGCCTTCTAGATTGCGAAAGCAAGCAGGCTTGAGTGTTTTAGGTCGATTTTGCGGAGTCTGTCGGCCGCATGAGGCGGCGACGTTTGCCATCGCTTCATCGGGTCCTTTCTGTACCTCGTCACGCCAGTCGACGGCCTCCCTTGCACCCAATCGGCTCATTGACAAGCAAAACCAACAGATGAACCCCATTTTTGCACAAAAAGCCAGCCCTACCTCAACCGTTGTGTTGATGAGTCTCGAGGGGTGAGATTAAAAACCTCCTCGAATGGTTCAATCACAGCCTTGCACGGCTCGACCCTCCGGGCTCGTGGAGACCGTCACGCTTCGTCAGACGCTCATCGCTTTCTCTTTGAACGACTCGTTTGGTACATGTCAGACGTCAGCCAAGCGAGGAAAAGTTGTGTTTCGACGAATCTCTTGTTTCACAATTGTTGTACTTGCCTTCACTCGACATGGAAGTAAGCTCGTCAACCAAGCAGACTGACTGGGACACTGTCGACCGTCACATACAGACACACGCACATACATATGCCCACTGACGTACGCATATACACACGCACAGACACAGGCACACGCCTTTGGCCCTGATCTTCGGACAGATCAACTTCCAGTCCTTCATCACCTTATGAGGCTGGAACTGTTGCTTCAAGAGCTACTGATCGGTACCAAGTCTGCTTTCTCAGAATGTTAATGATGCAAAGAATACAAGATTATGCGATGTGTACTCGCCCTATTTTGTTTATGGTGACAAGAGAGTTGACTTTTCCCACAATCAGATGAGCAGACATGGTTTCGCTTTTTCACAAGCTACTTTCATTCCGGCTGGGATGGACTGCAGTTTCGACCTCGCCTCGTCTGTGTCTCATCACCAGCCAAGCTGGACTCGAACCCGGCCACCAATGTCCTCGGGACAGAGAGAATACCTTTTTTGGGAATTCAACAGAAACTTGCGGCCTGCCCATCAAATTGTGCGCAACTTCAACTACCAATGCCCTTATCAGCTTAAACGTAATTTGATAAATAACCGCTATAACTATCCGATCTGCTGGATACCTCAAATGCCTACTTATAAACCTACAATAAGTAGTGTAATCGATTTTGTTAACAAATATAAGTTTGCCTTATCGACAATCACACTACAGAATGCGATATGGCAAGATGCCTAGCCTTGCTTGAAATTCACATCTGCCCTGTAGCCCAAAGGGACTCGTGACGGTGTGGGATTGAGTGATTAACGTGTCCACATTAAACACTGTATTGTTATGTCTCGAGTCTAGCTGGCGGTGCTGATGGTACCAATTCAGGTAAGGTCGAAACTGCAGTCCATTCAAGTGTGGAAGA